CTCCAAAAGCAGTGCAAGACATTCTGAGTTGCAGTGACGTCGCTTAGAAAATGTTGGGACACAGTCTGTTTCCCGAGGAGAGGATGTAGCCTGTGCTCGGGTTGGTTTGCTCCCCATGGCGACTTGGCCGTCAACCCAACACAGAAAACAAGTGATCAACGAGGTGAATGTCAGATACGGTCAGAAAATGTCTATTTTTATAGTTTAGACACTAAATGTGCTGTGTCTCCCATAGTTATGAAATTTAATTTAATAAAATACTGCATTAATAAAGGCTTAGAAGGTGCAGAGTGCTTTGGCCGCGTCTTAGGGATCTTAGGGCTTCAAGAACAGAACCGAGAACGCTTGAGATGCACCCGGTACAGCAGCCTGTCACGATGCGGGGATGCTGGTGCATCTGCCAGAGGTGGGCTACAGGGCAGCAGCCAATCAGCAGCGAGGAGAACTGAATAATGCTCTCAGGTTGGCTACTTGTAAACCTGCAACCCAAATCAGAGCAATACTGGTCTTATGGAACCACCTGAGAAACGGTTCTTTCCTATTTTTTGGAAGAGCGAGCGAAGAATTCTCTGAGTGCTTGGTGAAGAAGGCGGTCATGAAGGGTTTCGGCAGTGGAGCCTCTGCAGGCTGCTGGTGCACTCAGTTTGAGTTCCGTGTTGTCCCTGTGTCTGGCTGAGGCCTCACACTCATCTCCACGCAAAGCACACGACCCGAGAGAGGAAGGGAATGCTCCTGGGAGGAGGCACTGGGGTGCCAGCACCTCACGGAGAGGTAGCTGCCAGGCTCTGTTAGAGGGGTGCTCCTGAGGGTCATGGCTGCATCTTCCCTGTCTCTGCTTCTGAACGCAGCAGAATAGGTGCTGAGTATATGTTGAAGGACTCCGACATTCTTGGGTCTTGAAATCATTCTTTCTGCTACACAAAGCCTGAAAAAGAACTGGGTGAAACTCAGGAATGAAGAGGAAATCTCTGTAAGAGAGATGAGCTACTTTGCCCGACTGCCTCCTCCTTACCCTCTTTCTTTTCTCTGTCTTCTCCTTCCATCTTCCTTCCTTCTGTCACTTAGCACAGTGCCATGGAAGTAGATCTGATTTGTGGTCCAGCGTGAGCCAAACAGGTTGCTAGGAACAAGGTGGAGTGGAGGATGCTGCTCCAAGACTGTGTGGCTGCAGCTCTTGGAGGCCCGGAGGTGTGACCAGGGCCCCTCTGAGCCATCCCTTCCTAGAGGAGGGTCTTTGTTCTTTCCTTGTACACTTGCTGCATGAGCTGCTTCCCCAATGGATCAATATTACCTAAGAGGCTACACTTGTAAACTTACTGGGGGATCGTAGTTTTGGCTCACTTCAGACCCACCTTGTGATTTTGCTCTATTCAGCTTCCTTTGAGAAGTGGGCGTGTTAGGAACCTGCTTTCGGGTCCCCTCCTGTCTCTCAGGAGCTCTCAGGAGCGCTCCTTCTGCGCGAAGTTTTCCTACTCTTAATCTCCGCTGTTCCTTAAAATTTATTCTTTGATTTTGGGGAACACAGACTGGGCATATTGACATCTAGCAGGTTGGGAGTTACACTTATTCCCCTGGGGAATAATTCCCGCTGTATTCAGTAGTGCACACTGTGGCCATTTTTATGCTTTTTTAAAAAAACTGCAATGAACACACTAGCTACAGCATGCAGGCCTGCCCAAGCCTCAGATTCTTCCTCTATGAAGTCCCTTCTAGACCGGGGAGGGAAGTGGTGTCCCCGCTGTCCTGGCCATGTCTCGGGCTGTTGTCACTGCCGTGCCAGAGGTCAGCAGCTCTGTAGCTGTGCTGTCCCCGGAGCGTATCGGCCGCTCCTCATTTCTCCTTGGTCATTCCAGACAGAACCGGGGCCACGACTGCTCCTGAACCGGCAGGTTTCAGCTAAATCTAAATGCTGTCTTCCTGGGAGTCTTCACACCTCATCACTGCAGGGGTCTCTGGATTTGCACGAAGACAGGAAGTGAATAGCAAGACCGTAATGCTACACAGATGCCATTGATTGGGAGGGTGCCTGGCCCCAGGTACAGAGCCACCCAAGCCCTGCTGGTGCCCAGGGTGGGCTCTCTACAGACTACCCGGAGTGGCCCACCCTCTCCCAGCTGTTTTGTTATAGGAAGGGAAAGAAGGGAGGAGAACGCTGTTTATTTACTCGGCACGTACATTGCGTGCCTACCCTGTCCACTTTCCAGAGAGCAGCCAGGAAGGGGCAGAGGAGGGAGCAAGAGGCACTGTGCGTTCAGGTCACCCGAGGGAGCGTCCACACCCAGCCCACCCAGCGCTGGCAGCTGTGTCATAGGGATGGATGTGCAGAGAACCTCCCTGAAAGTTGGCTGCAAGTCAAAGCCTCGCGTTTGTCTGCCAGATTCCAAGGCCACGGTCTAAGTAGCTAGGAGGCCAGGGTCTGAACCAGGTGCAGATCCACAGCCTCCAGTGTGGAACGACTTTTGAGGCCCTGGAGCCCCTGGTTGTCAGTGCAGAGCCTTGGGTGCAAAGGGCTAGGAGGAAAGGTGGGTGCTGGGGTGCAGGGGCCCTCCTCCCCAGAAGGGCAGTCAGGGAAGGAAAGCAGTCTGGCGGCTTATCTGGGTTCAGTCGAATCAAAGTACTTGTAGAAATGCTTCCGAAGACAGCTCAGCAAGGGTTAAAGCGATAGCCGTTTATTTAGCTGCAGATGCTCTGCCTTCCTTACAATAACTCGGCGAAGCAGGTGTGATTGTTCTGACCCGAGCACAAGGAAATGAGGCTCAGCGTCCCGACTCAGCTTCCCAGGAGCTCAGGGCCAGGCAGGGGAAGAGCCAGGCAGAGTTCAGCCTGGATCTGTGTCCCGTGGTCTTTGCTTGCCCCGCATTCCAGATTCCGCCGCTGCACCTCCAGCCGCCTGCGAAGCCAGCACTGCCCATCACCAGCCCTGCTGGGTCATGATTCTGGGGGAGCACTAGGCGGGGCCTGGGGGTGGCTCCTGCCTGCTCACCACCGAGTCCTCTGCGAGTGTGCCCGCGCTTGGGGCTGTGCGTCCAGGCCTCGGTTCTGACTCTGCTGGCCCTCCGCTTATCTCAGAAATGTTTCTTCAGCCGTGTCAGTGCTGGGGCTCGGGGGCCGCTCCCTTTCCACCCAGGCTCCAGGTCCTGGAGTCAGCCTCTTCCCTGAGACCCTCAGGAGAGGCAGGAAACGGAAGCAGTGCTGCTCAAGCACAGACCCCACTTCCGCCCCACGGGCTGCTTGGTGAGCGAGGTCCTCTGACCCCAGGGCTCTGCCGTGGACCAGCCTCCCCTGCCAGTCGAGGCGTTTGGGTGATCACGGCAGCGCTTCCTGCGGTTTGCAAGGATCTTTCTGGAGCCTCACTAGAAAGCCTGGAGGCAGGAAGAGCAGGTGGTGTGAGCCTTGCTTTCTGGAAACTAAGCTCTGGGGAAGTACAAAGCCTCGCTCAAGGTCAAGGCGGGGCAGACGCCCAGGCCACCTGACTGCACAGAGCTCCCTTCATGCCCCCTCAGGCACATGCACCCCCGGGGTGTCCCTGCGTCCTGGTCTGCAGCTGTAAGAGTATTTCCAGAGAGCTCCATAATAGAAGACAGGGCTGGAGATGTCACTTGAGTTCACCAATTTTAATGACGAAAAATGCCACATGTTACTAAACACTTGTGTATTTCTTATGGATGAAGTTCACATCAGACTTCACCTCATTAATTTGAATTTTGTTTACACGAACTATTTCTCCACGTGCGGTTCAGCGGCATTAGTACTTCGATAATGTTGTGTGACCGCCACTCTGTCCAGTTCCAAAACCTCCGCAGCACCCTCCGAGATCCTAATGTATGATTTACACAATCCCAGCTAATATCTGGAATCAAACTGCAGGTAATTATTCATGCGGGGTGGTATTAAAATGAGACAGCTTAGGGTTGGGGCCCAGGCTGAGCTGGATTTAAATAGAAGCTCTTGAGTTTTCCAGCTGCGTGTGTTTACCCCGGCTCGGTCCTCACTCCTGTCCGGGTATAATGCTGGCTGTTCGGAGGGGAGTCGAAAGGACAAGGGAGATAATGGGTTTCGAGCACCTCTTATGGGCCGGGATCTAAGCGGCTGCTGACATGAAAGGAGTTGTTATTCACAGTATTAATGGCCGGAGATGACTCAGAGGACACTAGGAAAGCCATCGGAACCCCAGGCTTCTAATTCCCAGACACTGAAATCACGGGTCTGAAGGCTTTCTAAAGTGCGACATTTAAGATGGTAAAATACCTTACAGGTCTGGTCCCTTTTCTTATCTTTAAAAGCCTCTTGCCAGCCCTTCACCATGAACGTGTGCACACATGCACACACACGCACACATGTGTACATACACGCACACACGTGCACATACACATGCACACACACGCACACATACACATGCATACACTGCACACACGTGCACACACACACACACACACACACACACACACACACACCTTGTCATCTTTTTGACCAGGATGACTTTATGTTTCAACAACTGTACTGAGGTATCTTTGACATGCAATAAACCCCACACATTTTACATGTGCAGTACAAGTTTTGAATCTCTATACACTACAAGCAAGATGATAACGTACCACCGAAAGTCTCTCTTTGTCCTTATGTCATTGTCTCTCCCTTCCCTCCCTACCAAATGCTAGATGTTTGTGATGCCCCGTGTTTAGTGATCAGAATCTGGGCATGATCAGAATATATGGGAATGCCTACATTAAAAACATTTATTACAGTAAAGGCACATTACCTTTAATCTCCCTCAGAACCCTGCCTTTTACCTGTAACACACGTCCCACTGTTCTTGCCACTTTCTGAAGCGAGTCCAGAGGTCTACTTTCTTCAGTGTCTTTATCAGGTTTGATAAAAAATATCGTGAGTGTTGCTCCCAAAGCCATCTGAAAGAGAGACTCCTAAAAACACAAAGCTCTGTCCTTGTCCACCTTATTGACCGGATCTGGCACCGTGCAACTTCCATCTCTTCTCCACAGGCAAAGTGACCGGGAAAGGGAGTCATTTTAAATTGATTCAGGATGTCGAGGCAGCCAGGACAGCACAGCTAAAGACCTCAGGAGAGAGAACGCCAGAGCTGCTGCAGGACGTGGCCGGGAAGGTGGGATGGGTGTGTGCAAAGTGAGAGGAGGGTTTGGAGGGGACTCATGGAAATGTGTCTGCTACAGTAATAAATTTTTAAAACTTTAAACATTCCCCGAGTTTTCGATCAACCCTGGTATTTTGTTGTCCAGCAAGTGTGGACACATGGGTTCTCCTGGAGCTGGACTCTGTGTTTTGCTCATTGCCGTAACCCCAGCAACCAGCGTAGATGGGAAAGCAGCACATGCTCAACCAATATTTGCTCAGTGAATGAACAGCCCCTTTGTCCTCTGGCCGGCTGCAGTGGTGCTGCAGCTTTTTCTCCCGGCTCCTGGCAATGGGTTCCCGGGCAGGCAAGGGCTCAGGCTGGCGTGGGTGGGGACATTTCCTGGAGGAAGAAACTACCCGATGATGAAAATGGCTTTCGGGGAAGTGGAGCTGGGCACGTGGGGACAGGCCAGTGGCAATCTGGGAAAGGTGAAGACAGAAAGAAGGGAACCCAAGGTCTGCCCCAGGACCCAGGGGTCTGCTGAGAAGCCAGGCAGGCCAGGCAGGGTAGTGCAAGGTGAAGAGGAGAGCGATACAGGGGAGATAACCTTCCAGGGCTGAGAAGCGGTGGGGGACTTGCTCTGGCTCTGCGTGATGGGGAGGTGGGGTGTGGGCTCTGTCAACAGCGGATTGTAACCGCTTTGCCAGATAGGACCTTTCAAGGGACCACAGAGTCAGAACGAAGTCTAGGGTGGGCCCTGATCCAATCTGATGGGAATCTCATACAAGTAAAAGTCTGACCATGCAGTGCACCCACACAGGAAAGCCTGGTAAGGGCGTGGCCGGAAGTCAGCCTTGGAGAAACATCAAAGCTGCCAACCCCTGCACCTCAGACTTCCGGTCTCCTGGACCCAAAGAAAACACACTTCTGGGGTGTAGCCCACTCAGCCTGGGCACTCTGTTGAGCCCTAGCAAAGGACCCAGCGTCCCAGCTCTGCCCGGCAGGCAGGAAGCTCTGGGAGTTTCCCTACCTGCCTAGGAGTCTGATTTACTAGATTTACTAGTCTGATTTACTAGAGTCTGATTTCTGCAGATTTACTAGATTTCTCCAGGGGCTGCTTATAGAGAGGTTCATCTTGAGAGGCACATTTGGGGTCTCCGGCCCGTGCAGAGGTGAGGGTAACTCAGCCCCCCTTTCTCACATCCTCTCCTTCCTCTTTGGCTGCACCCTGAGGACACAGCTCTGCGCCACTAATGAGACCCGGCCGACCCAGGGGTGGGCCTCAGTGGCTGGCACTTTTGGCCTGGTTTGAGTTCATGTTGGACAATGTTTTTTATTCTCTTTTTTTCTATAGCTAAATTGTTTTTCAGATGTGTGCAATGCACCTCCGACAGCTGAGGGCTTCTACCTACAGACGAAGGCTCTTTGAGCACGGGAACCGAGCGTGTGCGGACTGCCCGAGCTCCTTCGGCCTCTCGCCTCCCCTGGGGGCATCTCGGCCCACATCTGTTACGGCGCTGAAATTCAGAGAACGTTTGCTGAGTGGGATGGCACTGACGAGCCTTCAGAGAAGCTCTTGTTTTTGTGTTTGCTTCTGATTTTAACAAGCACTGACAGTTTCACCGGGTGTCGTACTTGGAGAGGCAAATTCTGTCCTGTGCTGTCTGTCTGTTCGGGGCTGAGCCGTGTGAGGCAGGGACAGGCCCGTGACAGGAATTCGGGACAGGGACAGGGCCCGAGAGCCGGGGCCGTGACTCGGTGGGACCTGCTTCATCGTGGTGTCTGCCGCCCCGGCTTATGTGACTCAGGGTCAGAGGCTTCACTTCCGGTGTCTTTCACCGTCCTCTGAAGGGGACCCTCTTCCTTTCTACCTCGTGGGCTCTCCAGAGGCTTGCCTGAGGCTGCCAGATAGAGCCCAGCTGCGGCCCTTGGTGGGTGTCCCGGGGACTGCGCCCTCCTCAGGCTGCCGCCGGTTTTCATTTCAGCTCTGTCCTATTGCAGGTTTGCGCTCAGACCTCCTGATCTAACATCCCAGAGACACCGTCCCTCCCCAGGGTCACGGCTGGGGCCGGGGTGGACGGCCACCGACCCTCACCTCCTCCTGGCCCATCTTCGGGTCCCACTGAGGGTCACAGCACAGCTGGGCTCCCGGAGCCAGGGCCGGCAGGGGGAGGGCTCTGATGCCCCGGCCCGGGCACAAGAAGGGGCGGTGACCTCCTCGGCACACAGTAGGGCTGCTGGGGTGTACCAGTCAGGGAGGTGAGGACCAGCCGCAGCCACCTTTGCCCCTGGATGTGCCTGGGCCAGAGCTTTCTCTCTCCTTCCTTCCCTTCCAATCTTTAAGCGATTTCACATGGTCCAGCCGCCCTGCTCCTGGTGGGACATCAGGGGAGACAGGACAGGTCTGCATCCCTGTGTTTATGTGGCACTGTTCACAGCTGCCAGGGCACAGGATCACCCCAAGTACCTGTCAATGGGTTGATGGATAAAGAAAATGGGATCTATGTCTTTAGCACACAGTGGAACACTATGTAGCCCTTAAAAAGGAGAAAATCGTGTGACTGCTTGAATGATCCTAAGGATGTGCTATCCAGCGAGAAGAGCCAGGCAGAGAAAGACAAGCAGTACATGACTTCGCTCTTCGTCCCTGGTGTGAGCCGTCCGTCTTCCATCTTCTGAACAATCCACACTTCCGGTCTGGAGTCCTTCCCCACACGGGCTCCTACGCTGCACCTGCAGCCCATCCACTCTCCCCATCCAGAACCTTCCTGTTCCACTTCCAGCGTAAATTGCAGCTCCCAGGAAGCCTTCCCGGCCACACACTGCACACCGTGGCCTCCCCCGGTTCTGTGACTTGCGGGTTTCTTGAGGAGCCCTCGCACCACTCATGATCATCTCCTCTGTTCCCTCCACGGAATACACGCTGGGTTTGTCCCGGCACCCCTGGGAGCCCGGGAAGCTACTGCGGATGCACAGCAGTGTCCAGATCTTCAAACAAGATTTTCTTCCGGTGACAAACGTGACTGTTTGCCTTACGACAGACTTCAGCTCCTGCTGAGGAAGACGCTGGGCTGCAGGACTTGTCGGATCCACCACGGGCCCAGACCGGCGCTATAAACGCAAAGCACTGTGGGAGAGAAGGGAAGCAAAGCCCACATCTTAGCCTCCCTGTTTCCGAGTCCCTGGAAAACTCCTGCACCTTAAGCCCGTTGCTCCTCAAAAGCATGAGTTGTGTTTTCTTCTGAGACTGTCAGAAATTTAAAAGTAGTTTGAGCTAAAACTTGTGTGCCTTTACTTCTGCTACGAATGCCCAATAGGTAGCTACAAGCAAGACAAAGCTTGGCCTTCCTGGTGTATCCTTTATCTTAAAACTTTAGATACAGGTATGTTCATCATTGGGGTCTTTTTCTTTTCTTTTCTTTTCTTTTTTTTGTCTCTTTGAGACAGGGTCTTGCTATACAGTTCAGGCTGGTCTTGAACTCATTTTGTAGTCCAGGCTGGCCTCGAACTTGCAGCAGTCCTCCTGCCTCAACCTCCTGAGTGCTGGGATTACAGGCATGTGACACCACACTTGGCATAAGTTGTTACCCATACTTTTTTCTTTTTCTTTTCTTTTTCAGTATGGCATCAAACCCAGGACCTTCTGCATGCTGGGCCAACTTCAGTTTTTAAAGTTGGTGGTTTAACAAAATTTAATCAGCCCTAGGTTTACCCACCTATCTCATTCCCCTTCAGGACACGAACGTCAGAGTCACTGACGTCACTGTCAAGATTCCCAGGGCTCCCGATCACCAGGTCCACAGCGCTCAGTTCCCACTGCCCAGAATGACTCTCAGAAGCCCCAGCCGCTGTTCCGGAACAGAAGTCACCTGCGTCCTGGGGAAAGCAGAGCCTGCTGTGACAGAAGCTGCCACAGAGAGCCCTCTCACCGCACTGAATCACCCCTCAGGCCGCGAGGCGTCCTCCAGAGCCGGAACGCAGAGCAACAGGAGCTTCAGCCAGAGCCCTGACCCCCCTGCTCACCCGTAAAGCCACCTCCTGCCGGGGGGTCTCCAGCTGACCCTCTGCCTCAGCGAGGCCCGAGCTGCCCCCCAGTAGGTCCTGGGCCTGTCTCCTCTCTGTCTTTCTGATGAAAGTGCTTGCCTGTAAATTCAGAGAGTCGCTTTTAATTTAATCCCCATTTCTCCTAAAGCAAGGATCCACCCAGGCTGCGACACCCGCAGCTCCGCTCCCTTGTCCTGCACTCGTCCCCCAAGCGCTGAGCCTGCACCTATCCCAGAAGCCGTGACCCTGCCCTCACCCCGGAAGTGGTATGGGCCTCTGACGCCCTTGACTGCCGAGCTGCCGGGCTTGCTGCGGGCACCTCCCCTGCGCCCTGCCGTCGGTTCCTGCTCTCTCCAGCTGTGGCCCAGCTGGCTGGACGTGCCCTTGGGCCACTTCCGCTGTGCCCACCCAGTCTCGCTCTGATGGGCTTCCCTCCCTGCAGCACACGCAGCTCAACGGGCAGTCCCGTCCTCTGGAAGATGCGGCAGCTCACCCTCTTGTTCCCAGGGTCTCACCCCGGCCGGTGCCTGCTCTTCCTGCCCAGGGCGTGCGCGCTGTGTGGCCCGCGGTGTGTGATGCCCCCTGCCACCCCTGCAGCCTAGGTGACGATGTCCTGCAGTCAGGCTCACCTGTCCAGCTGAGGCAGGATAGAAGAAATAACGACAGGCAGAAAGGAGACGAGGAAGACCATGATTAATACTGACTTTTAAGGAAAACCGTGGGCTCAGGACATGAGAAACGGCTCAGGCCTTTCTCCCTTCCAGGAGACTCAAAAAAAAAAAAAAAAAAAAAAGAAACAACAACCCTGAAGGTCACAAAGATGCAAGGCGAGGCTCTGGTGTGTAGACTTTTCCCTTTCGCCTGGAAAATGGGCCTTGCCCCAACGGCAGGGTTAAAGGACCCCCCTTTCCACAGATTTCACACTAAACCACCCAGATACCCAGGCTGTAACCCAGCTTCTCCTGAGGGCCAGCCCTCCATTCTCAGTGTCTGTGAGTTCACTGGAATGGGGTCTCCTCAGGCTGGCCTTGAACTCACCATGTAGCCCAGGCTGGCTGGGAACTGGCAGCAATTCTCCTGCCTCAGCCTCCCGAGTGCTGGGATGACAGGTGTACACCCCCGTACTGGCCTGACCTTTCGTGTTTTGTGGAAGCATTTCCTGGCTCCCCACAGCACCCTGTGCAAAACAGGGAAGTCATCGCCCTCACTCTTGAGTGGGCATCACCATACGCTTTGACGTTTTCAAACACACGGGCTCTTCCCTGTTACGTGAAATCAGACACACGTGTGAATACTGCACTGTCTCTGGTGTGAGAAACCAAAAGTGTAAATAAGGACCACAGTGCATAATAGGTACTGGGAAATGGGAAGAAGACATTCGAATGGGGAGGGGAAGGAAGGAAGGAAGGGAGAAGTAAAAAAAACGAGAAAAGAAGGAGAAAATGGAAACAAAGCTTTTGTAAACGGGGACGGGGGAGGAGGGGTTGAAGGGAGCGGACGGGAATGGAAAAAGAAAGTACCAAGTTAAGTCCTGTACAGGTACAGATCCTCTGTGATGGATGTGATCGTTACGCATACCTAAAATGTACCAATAAAATCTGATTGGAAAGAAAAAAAAACAAAACACACTGATTCTGGGCCCTCTCGAGGCCGGTTGGATGGGCAAACGGTGAGCCCAGATGTGTGTGCTTTTGCGCGGTGCCTTCACTGACCGGGTGGACCACCAAGCGGAGTGCCCCGGCTGGCTGTCCCATCAGCCACCCTGAGAGTCTGACGGACGGCACCTGGGAGCCTGCTCTGCAGTGTAGACTGAAGGGTAGTGCTGGCATCTGGACGGAGCATCTGACGGGGACGCCCGCCCCGGCTTTCAGGACCCTCCACAGCCGGGGGGGATGCTGCGAATCGAGCCCGGCGCCCTTGCCGCTGAGCTGGGCCCATCCCAGCATCCTCAGCGGCTGTCATCTGACGGAGGACATCGGGAGAGACAGGCTTCCCGCTCCTGTGCCCTGGCCCTCCCTGATCAGCATCCTGTGATGAAGGACCTCTTCTTCCCTGCTCTGCTACAGCTCTGCTCATCCAGCCTTCCCGTAGGAGACCAACCCTCCTGCCTCTCCAGCTCACCTGCCCACATGCCAGCCCCCCGGGTGTTTTCTTCATGGTCTGAAGGCCATTGCTCGTGTTCTTTCTTCCTTGTCATAATGCCCTGATCACGGGGTCTCAGCAGTGCCAATCGCCTTTGTAGCCCTGTGCCATTCTAAACCTCTGGATCAGACCCACACAGAAATAAGCTCATGCAGTAGTTCGGGGGAGAGAATCCAAGACTTAAACTCAAGCTGGGGTTCACTCCATAACTTCTTTTTTTTTTTTTTTTTTTTTTTTCTCCGGTACTGGGAACCGAACTCACGACCTTGCGCTTGCCAGGCAGGCACGTTTGCCCCTGAGCTAAATCCTCAGCCCCTCACTCCATAACTTCTCAACCCTCACTGTAGGTGAATCACTGCGCAGCTCCACACTCTGATTTTTTTCACTTGCCAAGTGATATCTGTCCTCCCACATGTCACGTGTAGCTCAGCGTAACGTGCAATGTTATAGCGTAAATGAACAGCATTTGAAAAAGTCAGAGTCCCAAGGTGTTTAACAGCAATGAGCAAGACTTTCCTGGCTTTGTAAGACGAAGGTCTTTCCTTCTGGGTGGTTAAATAAATAGCTCAACCTTTCCAGAGAACCACCATAATATATATTTCATTAGGTTAATGTATATTAAAGTGAGTGTTGAATGTGAGCCACCACCCTTAGGGTGTTAATGATTTGTCACTTAGAACCAGGGGCATAGATTAAGTGCACGTCCATAAAGCGTGCTCCGGAGACTGAACGGCTCTGGCCCTCGTCCTTGGCAGAACTCCCCCGTCAATCTAGCAGCTGTGGTCAGTGAACCAAGTCCACGTGGGTCAGACTGCGGGCTTTCCCACCTCCCTGACCCTCCTCCTCCAGATCCTGTCTACACTAGCAGAGCTGAACCTGCCTGGCATGTGGGTTCACCTGCAGAAGGATGGAAGTGGGTTGGCTCCAAAGAGAGTAGGGCTCTGACTTCACTGTCACTGGGAAACATATTTTTAAAATTTCCCATGTGACTTTGCTAGAATCACAGAAGAGCGTTTTGAAAACACGTTCCCTGGATTATTATGAGCACCTTTTGAAAAGTTAAAATAATGAGTCATAAAATGAGAAGAGGAAAGTGATGCTGCAGAATGTCTACTGTGTTCCAGATGTGATGCCAGCTACGTCGTTAGTGCTTTTAAAGTTTAATCTCAAATTGCCCACAAATACAGCACTTTTACATACACATGGTTGGATAAACCAGCTATTTCCACCAGGTTGATTAAAAGGAAAGTCAGCCAGCCAGCCATCGCCCACCCCAACGTGCTCATCCTGCCACCCAGAGGCAGCTGCTTGGAATCATTTAACAGTTTCTTTGCTCATCTGTCTCCACATTTCTCAGCATTGTGCTTATACCGTGATCTCTTCATTGTATGTCTTATGTCTCGACTTCCTGCTGTGGAAGATGAAGATTTGGTACACACACACACACACACACACACACACACACACACACACACACAGACACAGACATAGTCACACAGGTATACACAGACACGGATGGACAGACACACATACACACACCATAAACTTTCCTTCGTAAAATATGATATTCGGTGACATCAGTATGACCAGGTAAATTTTATTCACAGTTGAGCCCGAAGGTCTACATATTCATTTTTGGCTTGGGATCCCTGAAATCTTCTGATTCTTTCACTTTTCTGTCTCACTTTGGGATTTCTGAGGGCTCTACTTGGCTGTGTTAATGCTTCTTTCTCTCTGAGAAAGTTAATGATAGTTATTTTTCTCTTTTAAGATACACTTTCCTACACTCTTGGTTTTCTCCGAACTTGCCTACTTGGTGTCCCTTGGTCTCCTGTGTTCAGGTGAGAGGTGTCCTTCAAGTGTCTGCCAGTCTGGGGACATCCACCATATTGAAGAGCAGGATGTTCAAAGGTGGAGCAGAATTTTGGAGGGGTAGGAGCAGGCGGCGGCTTTGTGAGCAGCAGGTCAGGGTCAGCAGGTCAGCCTCGTTGCGTGTTTTCTTTTTGGCCCTTCTGATCGCTCCTAGAAGGATCTCTGTCTCCAGTCTAGAGACCATGTGTAGGAGACTGCCAGCCCTCAGGGAACCTAGTGAGGAAAGGAATGGCAGGTGCTCAGAGTTCAGTGTGTGGGTCTATGTCCAATCCTGTTGTCCGTGCACCAGTCTGGTGGGAGGCGAGGAAGAGGTGGGCGTGCATGCTGAGAACAATGGTG